CCCTGCCACATCACAAGTGCCTCAGCCCAAGACTTTGCTGGAAGGGGGTGGAGTGCAGAAAGGTAGCATCTCAGCCTGGACAAGGTCCCACACAGGGACAGGTTGGAAGTGATGGTGCTGAGCTCCCCCAGCCCACTCCACCAGTGGTGCCAACCAAGGCATGGGGCAGCCATCCTGAGCCCAGGTGCAGGCAGGCATGGAGCAATGTACAAGGAGCCTTTGGTGGGCTGTGCTCATCTCTGCCCTCCATCTCCCAACATACACAAGGCTGAGGAGGTTCAGGAGTCCAAGACAACAGGTACAAGACTACAGGACTATTTCCCTCAAAAAACAGGAGGCTGCTACTCAGATGGTGAGGGGTGGAGCAATATCAGGAAGTCTTGGCCTCCAGGAGGGAAAGGCTGTTGAATTTCTACCGGTATTTGACTTCTGACTGGTCTCTCCCCACAGCTACCATGGATACCGGACCGTCCTGCAAGGGGAACACCACGGGACTGAAGTCCTGGGACTCTCTGCTTGCTAGGCTAGAGGAAACCTCAGCCCTCCAGCATCAACAAAGTTGGCAAAGATGAAAAAGGAGATGTGCTCCCACCAACATGCCCACCACACCACGGTGATCACTAGCCTGATTGGCCACTTCACAGAAAATCCAGCACACCCAGTCCTGACCCTTCCCCTCTTCCCCAACAACACAGTTTAGCCTCTGGCTGCAAAATGCATCACACAAGGTTAGACTCCACATCAAGCCTTGGTGGCCCAGCTGGACAGCAAGCAACTTTGGTCACTCACCTGGTGTTGGAGGCCAAGGGAATACCAAAGCTGTCCTCTGAGTGGCAAGGGCTGTGCCGAGCACCCTTCCTTCGTCTCCCCCGCTCCTCCTCCCTCTCCATCCAGGGGGCATCTGTGGCCGAACTGGTCCCAGAGTCTGGTTCCAAATGAGCCAGAGGAGCAAAGTTCTCCTCAATCAGCTTGGCGCTGTCTCGGATCTGTCCCTGTATTTCTGGGGTGAGGGTTGGGAGGTCAAAAGTGAAAAAGGTCCCATGAGTGTGGGCTGGGGAGGATAGGATGTCAATGGAGTCCAGGCTGGTGTAAGATGTGCCTTTGGCTCGATGGGACTCCATGATGCTCTCAAAATGCTTACTGAAAGAGTCCATGCCATCCTTGGAGAGGCTGTGCCCTAGGAGGAAGGGCACTGGAGACTTGAGCATACCCTGTGTGTCTTGGTCCATGATCCTAGAAACAAAGAAAGTGAGAATAACTGGTCACTGAGGAGGAAGGGATCAAAGCCTCAAAACAAAAGCCCACACGCTGCTCCAGAAGGAAACTGGGGAGGGCAGAAATCTCCTCTGAACATCTGTAGACCTCCAGGAAAATACCTTGCCTGCCCAAGACATTATGGGAGGAGGGACTGGGCTGGCCTCCCTCCAGACATATGCTTCTACTTTAATGTGCCACAGACTTTTGTTCCTTTAGTGGCTCATACTCATAAGAAGCTTATGAGATGGCTACTGCTCCCAGTCATTTGACTTGAGCTTAGATCCAATAAAAGGTTCAAGCACCAGAAGCAGGATGGAGTTCAGCTCCATTTCTAACCAAACCTGGAGATGCCTGAATCTTCCAGGAGCCTTTAGAGCTCCTGGCACTCAGAAGGCTCCTCCTGAAGCTGCTCAGGACAGTGTGACACCTTCCTCCATGAATGCAGCACAGTGCTCACTAACACCTAACTGTAAGGTCTGCTGGCCAGTCTCAGGAGATGTCTGGGACCCAGCACAAGGTGATGCTGAGCCCCACGTTTCCCCCAGACAGAATGGAGTGGTCTTGGGCATCTGAGCTGGCCCATGTCCTAGAGGCCAGGCTTGGTCCTGGCTCATCATCTTGTCAGGGATCAGCCCCACAGGAAGGCCTAGCCTGTCTCCAACACAGGTCTGGGTCCAGCCTGACACAGGAGTTTCTAAACCCTGAAGCCCTGAGTGTTTTGTCCTGTAAATGAGGTGAAGTGCAGCCTGCCCATCTGTCTGAGCACGTGACAGCAGGGACATTTCCAACCCAGGGAACATCAATGCTTTAGCCGTATAAGCACAAACACGGCCCCAAAAGCCCACTTTACTCATAAGCCGCCACCATTTTATTAAAGCAGTAGAAAAGCACCTGCTATGCCACTCTCTCCTCTGATAAAAGGAGAGGAACTGCTCCAGCTTGTCATAACGTTTGTTATGAACAAACAGCTTCGTAAAGAGGGCTCAGAAGATGGTTGCTGTTACAAACACCAAATGATTTTCATTCATTAGCCTTCCCATACTGCTTAAAAACCTCACTCTTATTACTTCAGCAGGCCAAAAGCTGGCAGCTTGACTCCCCCGGAGAGCCGGCTGGCTTCAGGGGGAGCGCAGCAAAGCCAGACGCTGGTAAGCAAGGCAGGAGGGAGGCTGCTCTCGCCCGTCCACCAGCATTTCCCTGGCTGTGCAACACTGCTCAACACTCTCACCATTCCCATAGGAGCACCAGGAGCAACCATCTCTGGGGTGGCTTTCTGGCGAAGACAAGGCAGAAGAAACCTGTTTAGCATCTGCAGATGAGGTTTACAGATGTGAATGTGCATTTACTGTCCTTACCGCCCAGCTGTGTGCTACTAAACCGAGCTAACAACGCTGACTTTGTTTTGCACCTCGAATCCAGAAGGAAGGTGATAGGCTGTGCCAGGGATGACAACACCAGCGGACGGAAGGGAGCTTGTTCCCAGGAAAGGGAGCTTGGCTCATTCTTGTGGTCAAGTATATTGCCACTAAGCCTCAGAAAAAACATAAACTGTTTTTGTCCACACCATCCAAGCTCTGGAAGCAACCTCTCCACCCCGAAATATCAATCGCAAAGCCATTCAACTCCAGAAGGATCTAGCTGCAGTAGCGTGGGTGCAATGCTGCCTGCAC